AGCAGAATATTGTTATATATATATATATATATATATATATATATATATATATATATATTACAAATGGAAAACTATTTCAGTGAAACAAGATTACGCATTTCACACTTGCTAGGCTTCATCAGAGCTAAATGAAAGAAATGTGTGTATACTTAAATTATAAATAGTTAATACTTTTTTCTGCTGAGCTGGTTTTTCTTGGGATGAAAGAAAGAACAAAATTGTGTGAAATTTGTATAAAAACCTTTATTTTTTTGCTGTTATCTTTTCTTTACAATTTTCTAGTTTTTGTTGAAATTTATTTAAACATTCTCCGAGCTTTTCTGCACTTAAAGCCCTATTCTGTTTTCAGATTTGGTTGAAGGTAAGATTCATTTATTTTTTTGTTGTTATTTTATTTTCATGGAAGGCACTCTGATACATTTCTTTATTAAGTCATTGCCTTGTTTGAACTTAGTCTTGAAATAGGCTTTGCCATCACTGTCTTGGACTATTAGTAATCTTTTTCTTCCAAGAAATATCTGCATTCCAATGTCAAATTAAACAAAATTTTTAATATGAAAAGATATTGGGCAAAAAAGTGATTTATATAATACCAGGAGTAATCAATGAATCTTAGATATCAGTGAACGTGTAAAAAATATAATCTTTTTCTTCCAAGAGATATTCCCATTACTCTGTTATATTCAACTTAAACACAATTTTTAACATGAAAAGATATTGAGGAAAAAGCGATTTATATAATACCAGGAGTAATCAATAAATCATAGATACCGTTGAACATGTAAAAAAAAAATATAATCTTTTTCTTTCAAGAGATATTCCCATTCCACTATTATATTAAACAAAATTTTTAATATGAAAAGATATTGAGAAAAAGGCAATTTATATAATACCAGGAGTAATCAATGAATCATAGATACCATTGAACATGTAAAAAGTATAAATGGAATGGATAAATTAAATGTTTCATTGGCCTTTATTTTAATTTTGAATTCTTTATCTCTGCTTTATTTAATATCAGTACATTGTTTTATGACTTCTGCTTCATTACATCTCATTATTAAAACTATCTAAGAATTGCCATCATTTTTGAAGGTACGAGTACACTTTATCCATTACTTTCTAACATTCCATTCACTTTAAATAGAAGGTTTGGAAGGAAACCCCCATCAATACTGGAAAGAGTGATAAAGGCTACTGGAACCGAGAAACCTGTTTTCCTAAAAAATGTGTTTTAAGAGCATGAATTTGTATGTTTCAACCGAAAACAGTACTGGCTGCTTGGTCATTAAATTCCAAATGTTTCCTTGTAAGGAAACAACTAATATTACCATTACCAATCTTCCAAACTGGAAGTAACCATCTGCAAACCTGGCTGCTGCAGATGCAGAAAAATATCCAAAATCAATAGCATTCAAGCTTTCAACAGAATTGAAACCTGATGAGCAGACTCAAATTATTACAAAAGGGTTTGCCTATGAAACTGTGCAGTTGAGGTGCTGAATATAACATCAATCAACATTTGTATTAATTCTAATTAATTGTATTAATTCTCTCTCTCTCTCTATCTCTCTATATATATATATATATATATATATATATATATATATATATATATATATATATATATATATATATATATATATATATTAATACATATTTCATTAAATAATATAGACATGTTTAGTCTATTTATTTTAAGCAAAATCCTTTCATAACGTCTGATAAGCTTAATAACATTATCATTGAAAGACGATAATGATAGTTTGTTTGCATGGAAGATTGCTATGCATTAGCATTTTTGTTCAAATTTCTTGGATGAGAACCCACTTTTAAATACAAAGCCTATGGAACAATGGCCTAGTGGGTAAAAGTGTTGGTTTGTGACTTTGGTGACATAGTTGTTGTGAATTCAATCTCTGGATTGGGCAGTGTGTACTTGCACTCAATAGAAATGGGTGAGCAATAACTGAACAATACTAAATAAAAATAAGAACTAGATAAGATATCCCTAGATGTGAGCAGTGGAACAAGAACAGTCTATGCTTTTGACTAAAAGAGGAGGTTACAAGGGATGAAAGATTGTGATAAAAACAACAAAGATGAGAACAACTGAGCAGTATTGAATAAGAACAAGAAAATGTGTGGATAGCAGAATGAAAACGATCTACCCTGTAGATCAGGGGTTGGCAACTCATTCGACCCCACGGGCCGGATCATGTTATAATGACGGGTCACGGGCTGGACGAAGGCCATTAATGAAAAATTAAGGAAAATTATATATGCAGACCCATGTCAACCTAAATATTTAAAACCATAATGAAAATGAACATTGAGAAATCAGAAAAACAAAAGAAAATCTCAAATTAAAAAACACCTAACAAAAATTACTTTTCCTCAAGTAACGTGAAAATACTTCAAAGTGAAAAAAATCAACCGAAGTGAAATGGATGAAATTATGATGTGTAGGTTTGAAACTGTTATTGAAAATTGTTCCACAAACGAACCACACACACACACACACACACACATCAAACAAAAACGAAGCACATATACCCATACATACGAGTACAAATAGTTGCAAACATATACACTTACGTACATACACATGCGGTATCATCCACACATTCATGGGGCATGTATGTATAATGTGTGTATGTTTAACTGTCTTTAGATTTCTGCTACCTCACATTTCAGTCCCTCCCTGGCCTCTTTCACTTTATCGTTCCTTTCGCTTCTGTTATCTTTTAATGTAGCCAAGGGTCATAACAAATATGTATCCATTATTTGACATTAAATGTAGGCAACGCAACTTGGTAAAATAAGACTCATGAAAGATAACTGGCAGATAGTCTAATATTTTTATTACTGGTCATGTTACTTAAAATAAAAAAAAACATTAATATTCACTCCAGGTTTTGGCAAGTCCAATATGAGATACTGTATATACTTGAATATAGTGCAAGATTTTATAATCAAGGGTCGCACTATATGCAGATAATTATTTTGAAGATTTTTCTTGGTGGGGTTAAAATTCTTTTTAAAAAAATTCAGGGGTCACATGATATATGAATTTAGCTGATACACAAGTATATACAGTAATTTAAGTTTGGTTCAAATAAGATAAATTAGCACTGAACATTTTGATTATTCTTTTATGTGCTGTGTCTCTTCAGGACCTAGGTGATCAAGCCTCTCCACAACTTCCTATTCTTAGTAGATCTTTATTAATTTGGGCCTTGAAGTGATCCCCACGTACAATATTATGTTATCAGGGATGAACATTTTCTAATGATTTCTATACATGTCATTTTTACTCTCTTTTTATGATTTAATACAATTTTCCCTCCAGGCACTGGATGTGAGTTAGACAGAGAGTGGGGTTAGGTAGGTAATTCTTTAATAATGCAGTTGTATCTGCATTGCAGTGCACCTGACAACTGTATTTGCTTCATCTTAAAGCTGCAGGCTATGACTAATAGCTCTTGTCTGTTCAATGACTGTATTTTTTAATAAGCTTACTTAACCTGATATAGTCAGTCACTAGCTAAAATTAAATCAATAATTAATCATGAAATTATTATTATTTTCTTTCTCTCTTCTTTTTGTTTTGTGTGTGTATAATATATATATATATATATATATAATATACACACATTTCATTAAAGATGACTGACAAGGCACTGTGATTAAGCTTTTTATTTAATTTTTCTTGTGTTCAAACAAGTGTTTTCTTTTCTGGACATAAAGTGTTTAGAAACTGTCCAAATGTTCTGTAATTTCGGCTATACTTTTAGCCATAAAACATCCCTATAACTCTAGTTACATACACACAACCTATACATCCAGTTAAAAAGTAAAAATAAAATCATCCTTGATAATGGCTAAAAGCATAGCTGAAAGTGCTTGGAATTAAAGAACATTTGGACAGAACATTTGTTTGAACACAAGAAAAATTAAATAAAAAGCATTATTGCAGTACCTTGTCTGTCGTCTTTAAGGAAACATTTATAAAAGAGGGATTGCTGCCTAAATGAACACACAAAAATATATATGTATATGTATTATATTATATAAAGAATAATACATTTGTTGGCCACTGTTCAATAAAACTCCGTGTTTCACCCTGCCTAACCTTGGTAATGAACTCACAACCAGCATGTCACCAAATTCACAAACCAACACTTTTAACAGAGTTTGGGTGGTGTGCACTTGTACTCAGGGGAAACAAGTGAGCAATAACTGAACAGTGTTAAATGACATAACAACAAGACAATATCCCTAGACATGAGCAGTGGAATGAGAACAGTCTACTCCTGTAGATTAAATAAAGGGTTCAGTTCGGTATTCCCTGTAGAATTCCCAGATGGAGTAAATAAATTTATTGAAACAAAGCAAGTTCAGTTGACCACTGATGATAATTCCAGAACAACGTAACAATAAACAATTTTTTCTAACCTCTGCCAGCTGCAATGATGGAGAAAGCATTACCTTGAACCATCGCCAGTGAGACACGCTGCAAGAGCCACTCTGTTTCATGAGGCTCGTCCCTTAATCGAGACACAATCGCACCAATCCTCCGAAAGAACGCCATCGAGCGAGGGCCAACAACCCCTGAAATCTCCTCTGCCACAGGATTAAAAAAAAATCTATCAGCAAGAGAAGAATATTTAACTATTTTTTTCATTTCTGCGTCCTGGGCGACGGATCCTGGCTCAACCGTGGAACTGATCAAATTGATTGATATAGACCCAAGGAAGGCTGGAGGGCATAACCACTGAAATGTTGTGATAAAAACAACAAAGATGAGGACAATAGTCTGGATATAAATAGTGAAAATATTGATAACTCCTTATCTGAGAAATTCAGACCCAAATAAAACTGTCAGTATTTAAATTGATTTATAGTCAAGTATTGGAGGTGAAGTGAATATGGCATTTGCTTTGTAAAAATGAAATGTTTGATATAATAAAAAGTATTTTTTTTTTTTTGCTTTTCAGATTTTACTCCAGAACCAAATTTTTTGTTTTATGCATTGAAACAAAGATTTGAAGACTCTGACTACACGTACCGTTACTTGTCAGAAGAGGAACAGAGTGACAGCTTTTTGCTACAGTAAGTTTAAAATCAACTTTTTACGTACTAACCTATTTTCCTATTACTACTTTCTCCCTTATTCATAATGATACATTAACTCGAAAAAGTTATCTGAATAGTACCCAAAACCTCTGATCACTTAGAAGGAAACAAAATGATCGAAAGAACGAACTTGATTATTTTTTTTTCACTTAAAGCAAATTACTTACTATTTGTCTATTTGTTACAAAAGATTCAAAGTAGATTGTATCCAAATTGTAAGAGAAAAAGAAATGAAAAGATTAACAGTTGCTGTATAAAATAATGGTACTATTGAAATAATGGTAAATTTTTATTTACACTATTTATATTTGGACTATTGTCCTCATCTTAATTGTTTTTATCACAACATTTTGGCCATTGTGCCTCTGGCCTTCCTCAGGTATGTATCAATATGGGTAACCTATGGCGAATTTTGACCTGAACCCTTTATTTAATCTATGCGATAGACTGTTCTTGTTCCACTGCTCATGTCTAGGGATATTGTCTAGTTTTTATTTTTATATTGTAGTATTCAGTTATTGCTTGCCTGTTTCCACTGAGTGCAAGTGCACACTGCCTAACCCATAACCACTATGCCACTACATTCTCAAACCGCTTTTACCTACTAGGCCATTGTCCCATAGGATAACTTGCTGGAGTAAACTTAGAACTTTAAACTTAACCTACACTGCTTCTGTTGCTGCTGCTTATGTTCTGATTATTGCTGCTGCTGCAGTTGAAGATTTTCTGTCATTATCTTTCTTTCTTTATTAGCAGCTCCCATATTGTACCATTTTATTTACATTATTTACATTTGAACTTATGTCTTCATTTTTGTTGTTATCATGTTTTGGTCATTGTCCCATCAAGCCTTCTTCAGGTGTCTGTCAGTCCAGCTAACCTTCAGGACATTTCAAACAGAACTCTTTACTAAATCTATAGAAGGTAGATTGCTCTCATTTCATTGACCATGTCTAAGGATATCTCGTTTTGTTCTTATTTAGTATGGCTCAGTTATTGCCCTTTTCCCACAGAGCCTGAGTCTCTGCTACACAACCCAAAGATTAAACTCACAATTACTATGTTGCCAAATTCAATACTTTAATACATTTGGTTAATAACTTGAATGTAAATAATATAAATAATTATAACTCATCATCCCAGAAATTCAAATACAAGGACTATTTACTTAGAAATGGAAAAGGACTATTTACTTAGAAATGGAAAAGGACTATTTACTTAGAAATGGAAAAGGACTATTTACTTAGAAATGGAAAAGGACTATTTACTTAGAAATGGAAAAGGACTATTTACTTAGAAATGGAAAAGGACTATTTTTGTGTTTGGTGATTTTAATGCTCATCATATCAAGTGGCTTAATCATTCTAATGTTACTGATGTTGCCGGTATTCAAACTTTCAATTTTTTCTGTTGCTCAGTCAACTAGCGGATTTCCCAACATGATAATTCTGATCACTTGCTCTCCTAGATATTGTCAAGCATTGCAGCTCTGTCTTTTTGGCAATTTGGATCAAGCCATAGTATCTGTTGATATTTCTTTTGAGTCACTTATTAGACAGGAATCTCCTATTCACAAAATGTCTTTCTGTTACCAACGTACTCTACTGGGATTTATTTTGTGACTTTTTTTCAAGACATTTCTTGGATTGATAATCTTAACCTTCCTATTGAGAATTGTGCTACAGAGTTCTCTTCTTGGGTTAAAGCCAGTATTGATGCTTTTGCACCTTCTCTGAAATACCAGATGAAACCACAATCTGCTGTTTGGTTTACACCTGCCTGTTCAGCTGCTATAGCCCACAGAGATCACTTTTTTGGGGGTTGTACCAAGTGATAGTTCTGATCACAACAGATACCTCTTTAATAATTGCAAATGTCATCAAATTAGATAAATCTTTGTTTGCTGGCAGAATGAGGTACTCTAACAAGTTTGATTCTCATGACTATTGCTGGTTCTGTAATAGTGTGTTTAATAAGAGTAAGTCTTTAATTCCTATACTCTTCACTCAATTTGAGGCATTAACATTTACAGATAAAGCTTGTAAATCTCTTCAAATTCTACTCTTAATTCATCTGGAGTATCTTTATTTGACTTTCTTCTTAGTTCTAATCTGTGATATGCATATATTTCCATCCATGGTTCCTGCTATAATCTCTAAAAACTGGATTCCTGCAAAGCATATAGACTTGATGGTATCTCTGTAATAGTCCTAAAGGAATGTTCTCCTGACCCGTCCCCTGCTTTCTCTCTACTCTACAATAAATGCTTTGCTTTTCTGCTTGTTGGAAATCCTCTTCTGTCATTTCAGTCTTTGAGAATCCAGGTGAACCATCTGATCATTCAAGCAATATGGCTTTCGCTTCTCTAGGTTAACTTCTGATGTATTAACAGTTATTGCTGAAAGAATCTATAAAGCCTTAGATAAGAATGGTGAAGCTCGGGCTATTACTTTGGATATCTTGAAGGCATTTGACAGGGTTTGGTATGCTGGTTTCTTCACAAATTGGAACATTAAGGTTAGTTCAGGATGAATTTTCAAATTGATTCAATCTTTTTTATCAAATCGCAAAATGAAAGTTGTCTTGAATGGCAACTCTTCTTGATCTTTTTGCATTAATACTGGTATCCCCCGGGCTCTATCCTTGGATCTACTTTGTTCATAATTTTCATCAATTACCTTCCTGATGTCATCAGTTCTCAACTTGGTATCTATGCTGATGACACAACTATTTACTCCTGTCTTAATGCTAAGTCTGATTAGTTTGATAAGATCAAATTAGCAGCTGATCTAAAAAAATGGCCTACATTCTGTTGCTAATTGGGGTAAGGAATGCTTGTTAATTTTAATGCCTCCAAAACAAAACTGTTCTCTTTAATCATCTGAGAGAACCTATTTTTGCCTTCCATCATCATGGCTGATGCTAACCTCCAAGAGAGTGATTCATTGCACCTTCTTGGGTTAATATTTTTTTGCTGACATAAAGTGGAAAGATTATATTGAAACAATTGATAGATCTATTGCTAGGAAATTTGATTCACTGTGTTGTGCTAGACATTTTTTCGGTATTAGCATGTAAGTGAATGTAATGGGTTCAACTAGAATTTGAACTAGGCACTCTGATTCCTCAATCTGAGCTGCTATCCATGACTCCACAGTGTGTCCTTAGTAAACTAAGAGACAAAATATTTTGACAACTGATTACATATTGTAGAATAACACAGTAGAACAATTTCAAAAGTATTATTATTTTATGCAAAAATTATGGTTTAATTTCTCATTCTCTTCCATTATGGAAAGTTCCATATTTTGTTGTAAAAATGATTTTTTTTCTAAATTGTAAGCATGTAGTTTCAAAAATTATCTAATGCTAGACTCTTGATAATTAGCAATTATGGTAAAACTAATTTTAAATGTACCTGTATTTTGCAAATTAAAGTTTACCTTATTTTATTTATATTTTATTTATGTTAAACACTATAAAATGTAATAATAATTCATTAAATTATATTTACAAATAAATAACTACATTTTAAATATAAATAATTCTTCATTAAATGAATAGTTATTTTGGTTTGTTTGTTTTTGTTTAGTGGTTTATCAACCTCTATTGGTTATTTAATGCCAAAATCAAAATATCTTGTATGAAATTTTATTTTTATTTATTTATATTTTTGAGATAATAATGGTTTTATTGATACAAATCTTACTGATTAACCAATTGCTGAGGGGAGAAGAGGTGTATTCATGCCATTTCCAAGGGTATTTGTGTGTAAGCGAATATAATGTACCCAATGTGAATTGAAACTTGGCTTTCTAATTAACAATTCTGAGCCTTTATCCATTATACCCACCTGCACATCTAAGCTTACAGCAAGTGGTATTCCCAATCAGTCACCCATCTAGGTATTGACCAAGCTTGATATTGCTTAAGTTTGGTGATTATAAGGGAACTGGTGTTTCAATGAGAAGTGGCTGTAAGCCTTGAATAGTTATTCATTCATTGAATAATTATTGATATTTAAAAGATTTTTTTGATAATGTAATTTAATGAATTATTATTACATCTTATAGAGTTTAACAGACAGAAAATTGAATAAAAATTCTATTTTATTTTTGTTCTATTTCTAAAAAAATATAATTTTTTGTTGAACTATATCATAAAAAATGTTCACTTGTTGCTTTTGTGTATATGTTTGTATAATGCATTAATTTTATGCATTTTCTATCTCTGCATAATACTAATTTTCACCTATTTCTGTGTATAATACTAATTTTCACCTATTTCTGTGTATAATACTAATTTTCACCTATTTCTGTGTATAATACTAATTTTCACCTATTTCTGTGTATAATACTAATTTTCACCTATTTCTGTGTACAATACTAATTTTCATCTATTTCTCTGTACAATACTAATTTTCACCTATTTCTCTGTACAATACTAATTTTCATCTATTTCTCTGTATAATACTAATTTTCACCTTTCTCTGTATCATACTAATCTTTGCCTATTTCTCTGTAAATACTAATCTTTGCCTATTTCTCTGTATGATACTAATTTTCACCTATTTCTCTGTATAAAACTAATTTTCACTTATTTCTCATAGAATATTCAGATTTGATTGCAGCTTTTAAATGTTCATTTGTTGGCATACAAAATTAATGTAATAAAAAGGAATATATATCTCATTATCCTTGTTTTTTCAGCAACATACTTTTAGCAACATTTTCAATATCAATAAAAACCTTAACAAATTAAAATAACTGGTAAGAAACTTGACATATTCTCCTTTGATCTTGTTTACGCTCTAATCTTCAACAAATGAATATCATATCCATGAATTATTTTGAATATAACCTTTTTTGTTCATAGCAGTATGCTGTTCTGCATTTTTTTTTTATTTATATGACCTTCCCTAATATTAAGAAACAAAATAAAATGAAGTATTTGGCCTAAATAAAATAGTAATGTCA